TTCACTGGGAAGTTATTTTTTTCCATTTGTAATTAACAAGTATTCTGTGAGAAGAGACTTTGAACCTATGTAAATATATTGTTTCTTATAAAAATTTCCACTGATTTATTGATTGATAACTGTGTGAACTTGGGGTTTCTTAATTTTTCAGTGGATAGCAATTTGTTAATAACATTATTTATTTACTATTACATACTATCATTATTTATTTGGATGCTTAACTGATCCCAGTGACTAATGCCAGGCCTTGGGAAAGTCAAAGAGGAGCCTAGAATATCTAATTGTGCCAGGAAGCAAAGACACGCTAAAAGAAAGAAAGCAGGTCCAAAGACACAGAAGGGGCTTGAAGGATCTGGGCATACCTTTTATTTTTTCTTTTTAACTTTTCATTGTGAAAGTTAAGGAGCAACTTAGTTTTCCATTCAACTATTCTTACACGTTATGTAGCAGCACTCTTTCCACTTCCTCCCTGTGTTCCCCGTCTCCATCCATCCATCTTTCCTATCCCTTCCCACCTTCTGAACTTTGTTTCTGGGCAAATGCTGCCCTTTTGATCTCATGTACTTGATTGCTCTGAAAAGTGCACACCTCCCTGGTGTTATTGTTTACCTTGTAGGCATGTATTGTTCGGCTGAAAGCTGAGCACGGAGGTGACCTCAGCTCCAGGCTTGAAGGGTGACTGAGGACCTTCTTCTCAGGTGTTGCACTAGTCTCTGTCTGACCAGTAAGCCTGGTCTTTTTTATGATTTTGAATTTTGCTCCACAGTTTTTCCCACTTTATCCAAAAGCCAAAACCAAACTCACAGCCATTGAATTGATTCCAACTCCTAGTGACCCTCATTGGGTTTCCAAAGTTGTAAATCTTTACGGAAGCAGACTGCTTCATCTTTCTTCCTCAAAGCATCTAGTGTGTTCATATCACTGACCTTTTGGTTAACAGCCAAATGCCTTAATTACTACACCACCAGAGCTCCTCTCACTCTGTCTGGGACCTTCTATTGTGATCCCTTTCAGAGCAGTCAACAGTGGTAGCTGGGCACCATCTATTTCTTCTGGTGTCAGGGTCATGGAGGCTGAGGTTCACATAGTTCATTAGTCCTTTGGACTAATCATTTCCATGCATGTTTGATTTTCTTCACTCAGGACAGAGAGAAACAAATAGTTGTACCTTAGATGGCTGCTCACAAGTTTTAAGACCTGGTCACTACTCACAAAAGTAGGATGTAGAACATTTTCTTTGTGCCAATTGACTTTGATGTCCTCCAAGACTACAATCCTGAGCCTTCGGGCCCAAGGACTTATTCCCTCAAGGGTTTTGGTTATGGCTAAGAAGTTTTCATAACTTTGCCCCTCATGTGCTCTACTATATTCATGGCTATATTTGCAGCACATATAAATAGGTGAGTAGAAATATCCTCTGTCCAACACGTACATATTTACAGGTGTAGCCCCATTCACCCTGCCCACACCTGTTCATTTCAAATGGGTTTCTAAGACCAATTTTCCTATAGTGCAGTCTTTATTGTTACTATTCTCTAAACTCCATTTTAGTTTGTTATATTTCTCTAAAATTAAAAAATAAGACTAAAAAGCCCTCTAGAAGGAGTTTCAAGGTACTTCACAGTAATAGGAGAATTAGTCCTGATCTTTGTTTTTCATAGTCCTCTTACAAACTCACAATATTGTGATTACTTTAGTCAAACATTGGCCTGTAGCTTTTTTTTTTTTTTTTCGCCTTTTCCTGAAAGCCAACTTAGATGTGAAATGAAAGCAAAATATCAACAGAAAGCCTTTCTCCCTTTTTTTGCTCCCTTCAGTTGAAGAACAAAATAAATAATTAAGCATGAAAGAAACAGACTGCCCAGAATCCATATGACCTTCACATTTTCTTTCCCCATAGACAGGACTACACAGGGAGCCAGACCATAACCAGCAGTTTCCCTCATAAGCACAGAATCAGATAGGAGGTCGATGAACTGACTCTTTAATGCAGTCATACTAAGCCGGCCTGATACACCCACTGCACTGTCAGCAGAGTCAGGAAATAGTTAAACTTGGCAGGGGTACCCTGCTCACTGCCAGTATTTGCCTCTGTTTCTTTTCTCCAAGCTTACAAGATTTTTCAAACTCCTCTTCTGAATGATGTGTTAATATAGGCACTTCCTGACAGATAGCCCTGATAATATTATGCAATTTTTAAATATGTATGTCAAAAACAATTTCTCTACATGAGAAATGGTAAAAGGGGGGTTGTCACATTCAGAATATTATAAACTGCATTATCTATCTATTGAAATACTAAATAGCATAGGATAAACAATAGAGTTGGCAAACAAAGAGTCAGGGTGTTTATGGAAGGAAGAAAGAGAAAGGAGGGTTTCCAGAAAAAGGGGAGTTCCATTCATTATAGGACCATGTTGGGAATGATGAGTCAGCCCCTCAATACCGGCATCAACTATGTAGCATGAGCAGCTCTGTCCAGTTGGGCGTTCACGTGTCAGGTAAAGCATAGGGGGTTCAACAACAAAGTTCAGAAGTAAACTCTTCACTGTGTTTGTTCATCCAAGTTCATGGCAATGCAGTAGATGGAGAAGCTGTGCTCTCAGCTACCATCCTCCGGAGCTTCCTGTCTGACAAGTCAGACAAGAGTGCAGATACTCCCATTCTAGGTAGCTTTGCACGCAAACACACACACACACATGCACATACATGCATGCACACACAGCCATTGTTTCCTAGGCGTTCTGGTGGCATAGGGCCTAAGCCATTTGACTGCTAACCAGAAGGCTGGGGGTCCAAACCCACCAGCCATTCCTCGGCAGGAAGATTCAGCAATCTACTTTCATAGAGATACCGCCTCAGAAACCCAAGTAATTGAACTTCTCAAACAGTTCTGCTTCATCAAATGTTTTATTTACAAACACAAAATTGCTATTAGTTCTACTTTCCACTAAAGCTCATCAATAATACAAAAATACTGAAAAGTCTGAGTTTCGTGATTTTGGTGTCATTCACTTTTTTTTTTTTTTTTAGTGAAATACTCTTTCAATTATATTTTTAATTGGGAAGGGATAGCAGTTAGAAGCATACTTTAAAATCAATGGAAATGCACTGGATAATGGAATGAATGTAGACCTCAGTTATCTGTAGCTAGGATGTACATCACTGAAGCTTCCCCACGCTGAACTCAAAGCAAAGGTGATATCTGTATTACGAAGCTAAACTAAGCCAAACAACTCAATCCTACAGCAATGGTTAAGCATTTAATATCAACCTGGCTCCACAAACACACCAGCTGCATCATTGCTCCCCCCTCCCAAAGATGCTTAGCCCCGGAGAGTTAAGTTCTCACTGTGCTAAACGGGTCAGTAAGTTTTCTTTAAATTGTAAAAAAAAAAAAAAAAAAAAAAAAACTACAATCATTTGGATATCTGCCTATTTTAGAATGACTTGAAATGGGAAAAAGGACTGAATTTTATTATTATTATTATTATTATTATTATTATTATTATATTACTGTTAGTTTGCGAAATCAAAGGAAGGCATTGATCAGTTTTCAGACTCATGGATGTATTGTTATTTTTCTTCGTGGAGGAGGGAGGATACAGAAAGAAAGAGGAAGAAAGAGAAAGTGTGAGAACTCAGGCACTCAAGCACTTGGATCCAGTACCCAAGTGATACAAAACCTAAATGAAGTGAGTGATTTCAAATGTCAAAGAGTGGCTCCAAACAGTTAGCTTATTTAGCAGATTTTTTTTCTCTAAGAAACAATTGAAAATACTTTGACCTCACATGGAAAGACTGTGGCAAAGAAAAGATTTGAGAGTTGGATGGAGAGAGATGATCACAGGGTTTTATGAGTCATTAAGGCACCTAGATCGATCACAAGTGATGTCTGTGTTGTTGCTGGAATAAAGAACACCATTAGTCAAAGTCCTTCACTGAAGAAGGTTCTGTCCACTCACCTGGAAGCATTTATTGAAAGTTCTACCAAAAGTCACCTGGATAGAATGGAATTTGCACTTCTTCGGCAGGATTCTGGACCTCTCAACATAGCTTGTAAAGTAATGCACCATTGTGTCCGCAAGTGTGCACAGCCTGGGTTCTTGAAATATCACAGCAATGAATCAGAGAGGAGGGGTTGTTTGTGTGCTGGATCTGATAAGCTTGGTCATGTGTGTTCATTTAGTCCTGCTTCCAGAAAATCATATACTTAATACCACAGCAACTTGCCCACCAATCAAGAAGATAGTTTTAAAAAGAAAGTGATTTGCATAGTTTCCTTTTTACCCAATTGTATTAATTTAAAATCTTATTTCAGATTTGAAAATACAGCTATATTTTAGATTTATAAATTTTTAGACTTTTTAGAAGTTAAAAGGAAAGCCTTCTTTATGGAAATTTCATACTTGAAGAAGTTCAGGCCTCTCATGGTGGGTCCTTCTCCCTCCTCCTCTCTAAATACAACTTTGGGAAGCATTGCATCCTGTTTCTGTAGCATAGTTTAACTTTTTAAAGCCAATTTGATTTCACTTATTTCCACACCCTTAGAGAAAGTCCCGGGAGCTCTGGTAGCATAGTGGCTAAGGCACTTGAGTGCTAACCAGAAGGCTGGCGGTTCAAACCCACCAGCCACTCCTTGGAAGGAAGGTTGGGCAATCCTACTTCCATAGTGATACTGCCTCGGAAACCCAAGGAGGGGTCGCTATGAGTCAGGGCTGACTCGACGGCACATAACAGCAACAACAACAACAGAGAAAGTCCCAGGAGGTCTGGTAGCATAGTGCCTAAAGCACTTGACTGCTAACCAGAAGGCTGGCAGTTCAAACCCACCAGCCACTCCTCAGAAGGCAGGTTGGGCAATCTACTTCCATAGTGATACCACCTCAGAAACCCAAGGAGGGGTCACTATGAGTCTGGGCCAACTCAACAGCCCATAACAACGAGAAAGCCCACTGCCACCCCATGACCTGAACACAGACTCTATTATTTCTTCTCAGGGGCTATGAATCTCACATGGACGGGGAGAAGGGAGAAGGCGATATATTTCCTTACTTTGTTTTTGGAGCTGCCTGTTCTGAGCTTGAAATTGATTGTCTGACAGGAGCTCACAAGGTAAGCACCAAATACCATATCACTGGTATGACAAATTTTTAGTAAAAATGCTGAGGCATACCTTTCTGCCTATCACACTGGCAAATATTTAACAAACTGTCATTTTTGTGTCAGCAAGCACGTTGAAAAATGATTGCTCTCATACAGTGCTGGGCCTAATTTATTTCAAGTGGTTTAACCTTTTCTTGAAAAATATATCAAACACTTTTACAAAGTTTAGACAATTTTTATTAGGTAATATTATTCTTAGACATTTTTCCTAACTGAACCTGAGGTCAGAGAAGTGGTAGAAAGGTGATCTGGGAAAATGTTTGGAGAAAGTGACCTTGAAGATGAGTCTTACAGAATTAGCCAAGTTGTGCCAGGAAAAAGCAGACAAGGTGGCAGGTTGCAGTTTTCTACACAGAGAAAATAGCAAAACCAGTAGGCTGCTCGGGGAAACACCAATAGTACAATACAGAAAAAGCAAATCATAGAATTCTGCGAGATGAGGCTGGGAAGGGAGTTAAGAAACATGGAGACCATGTTCCCATCCAGTGACACTTTTGGAATTTATTTTGTAGAGTGCAAATCCAATGAAGAGTTTTTCATCAGAAGAAAGGTATGAGCAAATCTGTGACTTAGGTCAATCTAGTGGCCATGTGGAAGAGGGACTTGGGAAAAGGGAAGAAAAGAACAAGGAGACCACTTGAGAGGCTACAGCAATAAGCTAAGCAACAGAGAATTAGGCATTGAACTAGAGGAGGAGGAATAGAAATGGAAGGAACAACACAGTGATAAGTAGAGACTAAAGTCTTAGACCCATCAAACCCTAGGATGGGAAGCAGGCAAGAGACCAGAAGTTCAACTATCTGGAAAATGGGGACTGAAAGATAACATCATTGCAGAAGAACAGAGAATCAATCAGAAATAAGGGCTGAGGCAGAGTTTCCTATTTATTCCTGAGTTTTAGGAGAGCTGAATTTGCTCCCTGGGAACTAGAAAATGGTCCAAAGCAGGAGCAATATCCCCACAAGCTAAGAGCCCAGAGCTGTTAACAAAAGATCTGGTTCTAAACCAAGGAACTTGGGGCTATTTATTTTCAGATAACCACAAAACCACCAGAACTGAATGATGGAGGACGGAAAATAAAAGAAACTCCTCTCAAGATGAACTTGCATTCTAAAAATTAAAACACGCAAACTAATGCTGTGCAATACAACAAATATGTTACCAAGGGATGAATATAACAAAGCAAAACTGAAGTCACCTTAAGACAAACATGTTTAAGATTTTTTTTTTTAAATACACCTATTTTAAAAGAACAGGAAGATATTAAAAAAGTCAGTGATTATGAATCAAGAACACATGCATATTAAAAGAATCAATAAATTATCCTGACAGTGAAAAATATATTCATTGAATTTATAAAACTTTAGACTAGACCTAGTCAAAAAGAGAATTGTTGTTGTTGTTGTTATTTGACATCGAGTTGGATCTGACTGATAGAGACCCCTCCTTGGGTTTCCGAGGCGGTATCACTACAGAAGTAGATTGCCTAACCTTCCTTCCGAGGACTGGCTGATGGGTTTGAACCGCCAGCCTTCTGGTTAGCAGTCAAGTGCCTTAGGCACTATGCTACCATAGCCCCTAAAAAGAGAATTAGTGAACTGAAAATTTATATTGAGGAATTTACTTAGACCAGAGAATGCAAAGATGAAAAACATGAAAGAGAAATAAGAGTCATAAAGGACAAACTGATTTTCCCTGGCATATATCTGATAGGAGTTTCAGAAGTGAAAAATAAGGTAATGAGAGATGATAGCTGAGAATTTTCTAAAATTGAAAGAGATATTGGTTTTTCAATTCAAAGTATACACCAAATGCTGAGCAAGATACATAAAAATATATCCCCATCTAGACACACTGTGGTGATACATATAAGACAAAAATAAAATATTAAAAAATCATAAAATCCAGGCTACTTATAAAAGAATGACACCAGATTTCTCTTCAGCAATATGGATGCCATGAAACAGTGGAGTAACATCTTCAGTAAGATAAGAGAAAACAATGGTCAGCCTAGATTTCTATAAGCTTTTCTGACAGAAACTAAAATTTTTCTAACTACAAACCTTCATGAAGACAGCCATCAGATAAACCAGAAGGAAACAATCAGTTACAAGAATCAAAATCCTGAAGGACAAATGTGCATTAAAACCTCTTATGTGGGTGCTTGTATGGACTCAGTGCTAGGCTGAATATAAAGATCTAATCAATATCTGTTATACATAGTAAATAATAAACGGTGTTCATTCATCACTCCTAAAGACAACCCCTGCTGCTATAGGACATCATTATGACATTTTATATTTACCCTATTTTCATTATACAAGTTATATTTCCTAAAACTCTTCCATAATATTATTTTTGGTATATTTATTTCCAGTGTTTTTCCATACAATTTTACAAATTTCTTTTCATCTTTACATATAATTTCATAGCCTTTTTTTTTTTTTTTACTTGATGCTCTATCATATCCGTTTGCCCACATCATTACCTAATCTTCATAACCATTATTTTAGATGGCCATTTAATATTAAGACCAATTAGGGTTAGAATTTGGAACTCCTATTTTATAGGAAGATGAGCTAGTATCAGGTACTTGCAACCTTTTAAAATTCTGTTGGAATCCACATAAACAATTTTAAAATCAATACTTAGCCAATACCTTCTAATTTTTATTTATTTCAAGAAATATATTTTAACTGACATCATTTCATATTTTTAAGACCTTTACCAAGAGAGAACTTTTCTGTGGTGTTTTTTTTATCACCTTTTTAACTCCAGAAAAATAGTCTTGTTGCTTATAAAATAGAGCATGTACCATAACCTGTTTGTTTTCACTTCTCATTAGAACACTAGAACTGACATTATCATGGATGCTTCTTTCAGTATAAACCCTGCTGTGGACATAAGACAGGTATGTGCACACTTTCCTCTATTATCAGTGAGTTAGTATATGCATATTCCATATACTAATTGTATAATATTTTACCTTTTCTGAATACAGGTTGAGAGAAGTAATTATCTTTTTCTGTTTTCTGGGTATCCCTAAATAATTTATTGTTGTTGTTGTTATGTGCCATCAAGTCGGCCCTGACTCACAGCAACCCCTCCTAAGGTTTCCGAGGCAGTATCACTGCAGAAGGAGATTGCCCCATCTTCCTTCCGAGGAACGGCTGGTGGGTTTGAACTGCCAGCCTTCTGGTTAGCAGTCTTATTTCTAAAATTATTGTCTTTCTTCTTTTCTTACCCATAATAGTGTGGGTAAATTGACTTGGATTCTATTTATTCAGTTTATTCATTCAACGAACATTTATGGATGACATAGTTGTAGGCATGACCAAGACTCACTGAATCAACTGGGACCCAGGAATCTGTATTTTCAACAAGAGTTCCAGGAGTGGTATCCACTGGTAGATAGTGGGAACCAGTGACAGATGACTGACTGGCTAAAGGCGAGGAGATGAATTAGGATCATGTTACAAACAGGCAAAAGATGGCGAGGCATAAACTAGGGCAATGGAAGTAGGAATGAGGAAAAGGATACAGATGTCTGGAAATACAAGGCAAAACTGGCCTTTGGCAGTGGTTGGTAGGGGCAGGCAGTAGTTGAGACAAAGTAAGGAATAAAAATGGGTCCCAAATCTCTGTCATGGAAATCTATTTGGGTGGGGATCCCAGGGACTGAGATGTCAAGTAAAAAAGGAAAAAAACTCACTGCCATTGAGTGGTTTCCAACTCATAGTGACCCCTCCTGCTTGTAAAGAAATTGGCTGAAGCATTCTTCCCTGAGGAAGGACAGATCCAAGACCTTGATCATCAACCTTAGACTTTGAAAGATAGCCTGCTAACTAGAAAGAGGGCTGAGGAGTTATCCTCTCATTGGTCAAATAACTTTGGGATGAGTGAACCTTGTTCCCAAAGTAGGACGACAGGAGATTTGGGCATCTGTTTTAAAAGAACTTCCATGTGAATGATCTAGGACCATTGGATATTAACATTATTTGTTTTTACAAGAAGTCCAGGCATTTTTCTAAAATCTACCCAAGAATATCAGAAAGGCGTTACTTGCATTAGAATGTGGAGAGCTAGAGAGACCTGGATTCCACAGCAAGTCAGTCACTTACAAGAATTAATACTTGGAAAAAAAAAAAAAAGAATTAATACTTGGAAATTCACAGTATATCATGAAAAAGTGAGACTCATTTCTTTCTGTGTTTCAGATTGAAGGGGCATTTACTCAAGGCCTTGGACTTTATACCCTAGAAGAGCTGAAATACTCACCTGAAGGAGTCCTATACACAAGTGGTCCAGAACAGTACAAGATTCCTTCAATTACTGATATCCCAGAGGAACTTCATGTGTCCCTGCTGACACCAACCCAAAATCCAATCGCAATCTACTCCTCCAAGGTAAACATCTAAGGATGGTCTTCATTTAGCTTGTCTCCTGTCAATTTCCTTTAAATGAATCAATCAATCAATCTTTCAGAACAAAACTCATACGGAGGAATTCACTAAGAATATAGCCCAGAGAGATACAGAGATGAAAAACATGGAAGAGAATATACAAGGGGGAATTTGCATTAAGATGATGCCAAGATGTGATGGGGTATTTCACAGCTGGGAGCTATGATAATTAGTCCCTCCAGAGGTGTCTCTAGCACTAGACCACCTATTTTAGCATCTGAAGTCCTTGAGGTCTTTTAGTAAAACACAGAAGCTGTAGTGGTGCCCTTTGAAAAATCTTGGGAGATTTTGTGTCTTTGTGATGCTTGCCAATACCTGAGAAGTCAGCCATAAACTTCTCAAGCCTGACTCAGAAGATGTATTTGAGCCAATTCTCAAAAAAAAGAAAAAAGATCATTCTGAATCATTTCACAACCCTTCACAGTTCAATCAAGTGACAATAAGAGCTGATGCAGAAAGCTAGCCCTACATCCTTGTTACTTCTTCCCTCCATTTCTCCTGACAACCCCCATGTGATGCACAAAGGGACAGGCTGCCCCTCCTCGGCACCTCCCCTATCTCAGCCAGGCTTAGAAATGTCATTGCACACCAATCTTCACCTGTTTCTGTGAGTGGATAATTTGACTCATCACCACATGTGACCTTGCAGGATGCTCTCTCCACTCCCTCGTGTCTAAAAGTCAACTATACTTCCTTTTCTCAGGGATATTTATGTTGTTCCTTATCTCTAATAAAGGCAACTGAGAGTTTTATGCAATTACCTGAAAGTCACATAAAGGGATTGAGACCTAGAGTCCCATTTTAACATAGGTGGAGCTTGGGGGACTTGGATAAACTTCTTTACCAAAAAAAAAAAAAAAGTTTTTATTGTAATTTGGCTGAAATTTCACAAAGGAGATTTGTTTTACATTCAAGAGTTCATACACATGTCAGGAGACAAAATGTGTGTGAACTCCTGTAAGGAAAATGAATTTGCTCTGTAAATTTTCACCCCAATCACAATAAAAATTAAAAAAAAAAAATCTTTACAGAAGTAGATTGTCTCATCTTCCTTCCATGGAGTGGCTTGTGGATTTGAACCACCAACCTTTTAGTTAGCAGACCAATGCCTTGAGAGCACCACCTATAAACTTATAAACCAGAGAGTTGCTATTATGTTTTAATTTTCATATTGGCCAATATCTTCAATCAAACACTTTCTATTAAATTTTTGTACTTTCTCAATAATTTTCAAATGTGCTTATTTAATTAATAATTAACAATGAGTTTATTTAATGTAAATGTTATTGGCGTAGTGTAGTGCCTAAGACATTTGACTGCTAACCGGAAGGTTGGCAGTTCAAACCCACCAGCCACTCCTCAGAAGGAAGATTGGGCAATCTACTTCTGTAGAGATACCGCCTCGGAAATCCAAGGAGGGGTCTCAATGAGTCAGATCCAACTCAAGGGCAGTGAGTTCAGTTTTTTTGATTTAGACCTCTACAGAGATGGATTGGATGCTACTCACCAAAGTAGGATGTAGAATGTTTTTGTGTACTGTGTTGTGCCAATTGAGCTTAATGTCTCCTGTGACCATGGTCCCAAGCCCACAAGCCCAGTGACTCACTTCCTCAAGGTGTTTGAATGTGGCTAAGAAGTTATCCTAACATTGTTCCTGTTAGCTCTATACTATGTATAGATGTTTTTATAGCACATACATACACACATGTCGGAATATTGTCTGCCCAACTTGTGTGTGGTCATGGATATATTCCTGTCCACCTACCCATACCTGATCATCTTACCTGTTTGAAGAGACTTCTTGTTAGTTGCTATAGAGTCAGTTCTGATTCATGGTAACCCCATGTGTGCAGAGTAGAACTGACTGCTCCACAGGGTTTTCAAGGCTGTGACCTTTCAGAAGCAGGTTGCCAGGCCTTTCTTCCAAGGCACCTCTAGGTAGTTTCAAACATTTAACATTTCAACTATTTAATCTTTTGTACCACCCAGAAACAAGGAGAACATAGTTTTCTATTTTCTTTTCTTTTTAAGTTTTATGGGAGCTCTGGTAGCATAGTGGCTAAGGCACTTGACTGCTAACCAGAAGGCTGGAGGTTCAAACCCACCAGCCACTCCTCAGAAGGAAGGTTGGGCAATCCTACTTCCGTAGTGATACTGCCTCGGAAACCCAAGGAGGGGTCGCTATGAGTCAGGGCCGACTCGACGGCAAATAACAACAACAACAAATGGCCAGATGGACATGCTTATCTCGATCTCTAGTGTATGTTGAATATGTTGACACCCAGAGGCTGGGCTTAATCATACCCTTTCAATAACATTTACAGAACTGACCATTGTTTGTGATGTGGTAACATATCAATCCATACTCAGGGATGGAACGTTGAAATGGGAAATGTTTAAAGCCAAGGATATGATTCTATGAGCTTATAATTTCAAAGCCTATTGCCGCTGAATAATGTTTCACTGAAACTGGTTGACACAGCTTATAGCCCACTCACTTCTTACTCCTTTGATTTGGACTCTGCTCTCACCACACCACTAAACAGCTGTCCCCAAAATCACCAATGATCTGTTTGCTGTGGACTCAGTGGACCCTCTTTAGCCCTTACCCTTATTGAACTTCCAGCAAATTCATTATAGCTGACCACTCTCTCTTTCTTGCTATTGTTGTTGTTATGTGCCGTCGAGTTGGACCCGACTCATAGCAACCCTTCCTTGAGTTTCCAAGGCAGCATCACTATGGAAATAGATTGTCCAACCTTCCGAGGAGTGGCTGGTGGGTTTGAACCACCAGCCTTCTGGTTAGCAGTCAAGTGCCTTAGATACTATGCTACCAAAGCTACTCTCTCTTTCTTAAAATACTCTTATTCCTTGGTTCCTGGGATGTCTCAAAGGCAAAAAACCAAACCCACTGCCATCGAGTCAATTCTGACTCATAGCAACCCTATAGGACAGAGTGAACAGCCCCATAGGGTTTCCAAGGCTGTAAATCTTTGTGGAAGTAGATTGCCTCATCTTTCTCCCACAGAGCAGCTGGTAGGTTTAAACCACAACCTTTTTGTCAGTAGCCAAGTGCTTTAACCACTGCCGCACCAGAGCTCCTTTTACTCCCTTTCTTGGGCTTATCTTCCTTTATTTTTTGTTTTGATTTGTGGTGGTGATTGGTTGGTTGGCTGATTTTTTTTTTTTTCTCCTCATAGAGGTTTTGTGTGTGTGTGTGTGTGTGTGTGTGTGATTTGGGTGAAACTGTACAGAGCAAATTGGTTTTCCATTCAACAATTCATACACATTGCATTTTGTGGCACTCATCGCACTCCCCACAATATAACAGCACCCCTCCCACTTCCTCCCTGTGTTTACCATCTCCCTTCATACTTCTTTCCCATCCCTTCCTGCCTTCTTAGCTTTATACCTGGGCAAACGCCACCCTTTTGATCTCTGGCTGTGTGGCTGGTGCTCATTTATCTGCTCATCCTTAAATGTTGATGTTCCCCAGGATAATGCCCTAGACCTCTGGCTTTTATCCTCGTCATTCCCAGCAATAGCTACAAGAACCTTGAGGGAAAGGCCTGTATCACTCACCTTGTATCCTCAGTAAGTGGCTGAATACAGTGTCTTAGTTCTCTAGTGCTGCTATAACAGAAACAGCAGAAGTGGATGGCTTTAACAAACAGACATTGACTCTCTCACAGTTTAGGAGGCTAGAAGTCCAAATTCAGGATGCCAGTTCTAGGGGAAGGCTTTCCCTCTCTGTCAGCTCTAGGGGATGGTCCTTCTCTCCTTTCAACATCTGTGGGCCCGTGTTCCTTAGAGATCTCCATGTGTCTTGGCATCAGTCTTCCCCTGGGTCTGGGACACAATTCACTCCTGGCTCTTCTTTCTTGGTATTACTGAGGTACCCCCCTTTCTACTCTCCTCTCCCCTTTTGTCTCTTGCAAAATACAAGGTGATACAGGTCACACCCCAGGGTAAGTCCTTAATTTCTTGTGAGGGCTGTGACTTGAGTAAGGATGGTAAGTTAAGTCAGGGTGATGAATTCCACCCTCATCCTAATCCTCTTTAAGGTAGCCTAATCCTGCCTCATTAACCAGAGGTTAAGATTTACAATACGTCACAAAACGAAAGATAAGCACATAAGACTGGGAATCACAGCCTGGCCAAGTTGATATATATTTGGGGGAAACACAATTAGATCAATGACATGAAGTATGCACTTAATAAACATTTGCTAAGTTGATGAGGTTTTTCTTTTTCTAATCAAATCAAAGTTAGGGCTGACCTTCAGCTCTACTTCACCAGCCCCTGAATTTTCCCATCTTCCACAAAAGGAGAAAGCTCAGTATTTTCTACTTTTTGGAGAAAGACAAGTGGTTATACTTTCCTTTACCTTTCTCCTGTCCTGCGGGTAAAATTTATCAGATAAGGAGTTTTGCAACTTACAGTTCATTACCCTTTAGAGGATCATAAATTTAATTTACTAGGTCATAACCACCATTTTGTAATTAAGTAGAATAGAGTACAATAACATAGAAAATATCAAAATGTTTTACACATATTAAAGACTGACTTCTTAAATATCTGTGTGTGCATGTTGCACACATGAGTGTAGTAGTAAAAAATATAAAAATATATATCTTACAGTGGATTGGAGTTAAAAAAAAATAAGTGAGAACATTTCTCTGAAGTGTCCGCATTCCATATCCAAGTGAGAATCCTAATATAGTGTCTCTCCTAACCAACAGAGCATGATCTATAGCCTTCTTCTTCAGCCCTAACAAGCATCATAAACTTAAATCCAAGTTCAGGAATAAGTTATCTTTTCATTTTAATAGTTTTATAAAAAGGCCAGACTACTCAAAGTTTGGGGTTTGTATTGTTCCTTAAGTTTTTTCCTTGGTTAAGCAGACTTCATCAAAATAAAAATTACATACCTTTATATAAACCAAACCAAACCAATCTACTGCCATTGATTCAATTCCAACTCATAGCAACCCCCATTGGGTTTCCAAGGCCATAAATCTTTATAGAAGCAGATTGTGTCATTGTTCTTCCATGGCGCAGCTGGTGGGTTCGAACCACTAACCTTTCAATTAGTAACCAAATGCCTTAACCACAACACCACCAGAGCTCCTATATTTTTATATATAATTAAAATATATCATGATATATTTTGTCAAAATCTAAGTTGATAGCATCAAAATAATCTCTTTCAGAAAATGCACAGTTCTTTGGGAAATGGATCACAAGAGTTCTAGACTAGCTGTTGAATTCTATGGCATCCTACAAATGTATCACAATGTGGGACCGCTGCACATACTATTCAGGCCTGTGGCAGTGACCTAGGATTCTTGCACTCTAACCCTCCCAGGGGTTTACAAGAGGGACAGCTAGGTGTCTTTTTCAGATCCTAGAAATAAAGATGTCAGTAGCTGTAGAATCCCCCTTCCAATGGTTGTGGCTGTTTGAGATCTGGGAATAATTTAAAAGATCACAGTCTCTCTGTCTGGAAATAACTTGGGAGTCTGTCCCTTGCACAGTTGCAGAACAACACAGGGAAAAGGCCATAATGATGCCTTGCAACTCTCTGTCAATGGTCTCCTTTTTTTAGGTATTCAATTTTGAACCAAGACATATATAGGCAACAGCAACCTCTTGACTCAGCACAACATGTGCTATTGTGTCCCCGTTTCCTCCTCCTACCCACCCATTGAGACAATACATAGAGAGGGGAATGAGGGGCACCTCATTGGAGAGATAGGATGATCAACTTGTCATATTTTCGATTGCCCTTTTGTCTTGAACCAAAAAAGCCAAACTCACTGCCATCGAGTCGATGAGACTCATAATGTCCCCTTCTTGGGTTTCTGTGGTGGTATCTCTACAGAAGTAGATTGCCCAATCTTCCTTCTGAGGAGTGGCTGGTGGGCTTGAACTGCCAGCCTTCTGGTTAGCAGACAAATGCCTTGGGCACTACACCACCAGAGCCCTGAGAGATGTTTATATCTTCTCTCTGAGAATTCTCGTCACCTTGGGACTCTTCATTCATATGTGCAGATGGACTGGGCTTTATTACCTGTCTTGGATGCTGAGCCTCTCCTGTAGTCTGGCACCCACAAGTCTAAATACTCAAATTATGGAGTTGCTTCTGAAAGATCACTGCCATAAAAACCCTATGGAGCAGTTCCACTCTGCACACAAGGGGTCATCAGGAACCGGAGTCAACTCCACAACTAACAGCAAGCATGGCTGCTGTGACCCAGAAAGCATCTCTGGATGCATTGCAAAAAAAGCACCCTTCCTGCAGCTGGATGTGTCTCACTCCAGGTCAGGGCTAGTGAGCAGAGTGTGAGCTGGACTTCACTTCCCCTTGTGTGGGAGTCACCCTGCCCAGCCAGGGCTAAACATTGCCAGATGGTACATGAGACAGTGACCTCAATATGTGAAAGGATGAGTATCCCCTTGACACAGGTGAGCAAGGCCCAGGTGCTGGGCTGCTTGAAGTTCAATTTGAGAAGAATATATTTAAAGAGATGAGAAGCTTGAAGGAAGGGGACCAGGACTCAGGAGTGTGTGTGTGTGTGTGTGTGTGTGTAGGGGAGGGGGACAGCAGAAGGGCCTTAGCAAGGTGGGGTGGGCAGCATGGAGGAGACTAAAGGATGGGAGAAGGCCATCAAAGAGAAACACCCCTTAGTAAGGAAGGACAGGGTGGGGGTCAATGGCAATTGCCAATGGAAAGGACAAAGAAACATACGACGTCAGAATGGGAACAGGCCCTAGGGGACATCTAACTCAGAGGCGCTCAATGTCAGGCACTGCCCACCAACCTCCAGGAAGGGCCATGTATACCTTAAAAAAGCATTGACTCATTATTATAATACCTAAGTTTATAATTTTGGAAAAGCTTCTTAAAGCCTATTATGTTCTTAATTCAAAGTACTGAATATAAACCCTTGGCAGGTGCCCGACTGAGAAGCATCAGCCAAAAAGCAAGATGTTTCTGACCCTACGTATCTTTTAAAGGCCTGGTTAGTGTTGCATATAATACTGAAGCTGTCACGTCTCCAGCTCCACTCTGCCCTGTCCCCTCGGGCCTGTGCAGGCCAAACCTCAGCCAGCCTCTCATTGTTTGGCAAATTGTGATAACTTCTGAATTACTGCCTGAACCTACCCACCTCCTGAACAGAGTTTTCTCAGGGGCCCAGAAGGTTCCCCAACACCCAATAGGCTGGGCATCCGAGAGTACTCTTACTAAAATTCTTCTCTTCTAATTTTTTCTCTTCCACTCCTAGGGCCTGGGCGAGTCAGGAATGTTTCTCGGTTCTTCCGTGTTCTTCGCCATAACCGATGCTGTGGCTACAGCTCGAAAGGAGAGGGGCCTGGCCCCAATTTTGTCCATGAACAGGCCGGCCACATCGGAGCAGATTCGAATGGCCTGTGTGGACCGGTTTACAGACCTGGTATGGGGCTCCTCCCTCCTGTCTGTGAATTCTCTGCACCCCTCCCAGTGATGCTCAATGCATATTGAAGGGAATTGGGAGGGAAAAGGGAGTAAGAACATATGCCAATTTAAAACTAAATTTACAATTTCACCATATATAATGCTTTCATTTGGAAAATGAAAATTACCTATTTTCAATTTTCAAACAGCAAGCTGTAAGACTTTTATATTCATCAAAAGGGGAGATAGATTTTAAGTGGTCCAAAATGGGTTGCAGGTGAGCTGTTGATCCTTTCAGCCTCGCAGCAACCTGCAGGCACAATTCCTCTACCCCAGGTGTACTGCCCAAATGTTATCATTTCCTAAGAGTGCCATGACCTGAAAACGTTAGAAGCCCTGTCTACGGCTCCAAGCCTGCACTGTCCAATACAGTAGCTGCTAGCCACATGCGGCCATTGAGCACTTGGAATGAGGCTAGTCCAAACCAAGATGTGCCATATATGTGAAATACACACCAGATTTTGGAAACTTACCACCACAGAAAGAATGTGCAATAGCTCACTAGTAATTTTTCTATTGATTACATATTGAAATAATAATAGTGTAAATATATTGGGTTAAATAAAACATCATGAAGATTATTTCACCTGTTTTATTTTTGTAATGTGGCTATCAGAAAATTTTTAATTACATATGTGGTTTCCATCTATGACTCACACATTTCTATTGGACAGTGCTGCTCTGGACAATCCCTATTACATGCTGAGCTGCAGGAGAAAAGAAGACTTAGAGGCATTGAGCAATTGAAAGAGATTTACTGGCTATGGGGACTGAGAGAGGAGATCAACCCTTAATTCCTTAGAAAAACAAACAAACAAAACAGAACCTTCATAAGACCCAGAATTAAAAACCACATGCAAAGAAAGAACAGAAGGAAAGGAAGGGCAAGAGAGAAGGAGAAAGGATGGAAGGAGACAAGAAAGGAGGAAGGAAGGATCGAGCAGAAGCAAACACACAGAGGCCAGCAAACACTAGATTTGTATCACACTGGAGAGAATTTAGTTCGGCTCTGGGAGCATAGTACCTAAGGCACTGGACCGCTAACCAGAAGGTTGGCGGTTCAAACCCACCAGCCACTCCTCGGAAGGAAGGTTGGGCATTCCTACTTCTGTAGTGATACTGCCTCAGAAACCCAAGAAGGGTCACTATGAGTCAAGGCTGACTCGATGGCAAATAACAACAACACAACAACAAACCAAAACCAAACTCACAGGCATCGAGTCTGATCCAGCTCATGGCGATCCCTCCTTGGGTTTCCGAGGCAGTATCACTATGGAAATAGATCACCCCATCTTTCTAGAGGGTAGACTATGACAGAGGAAAGCTAGAGATAAAACTGAAAAACTAGCACGGACAAGTTTGTAGATATTCTTATAAATTAAGGCCTCAGGTTGTTCTGCTGATAGTGCAGGCCTTTGAAGGCTTTTGACCAAAGAAATGGCATCATCAGGAATATTAGTCTGGCAGATTGTATAGCGTGAATAGGCATGGGAGGAAATAATAGGAAAGCTACTGTAATAGCCCAGGCAAGAGGCTTGAGAAGGATCAGTGGGGGCGGAAATGGAGTGGAAAGAAAGTCTATGACAACACCTGCCATCTGATTGGATGGGTTGGGGAGGAGAGAAGGAGTCAGAGAGTAGTTCACGGTTGTGCTCAGGTGAGTGGGAGGACTGGTGTCTCTAACAGCAATAGACAACACAGAAGAGGAAGGAGCTGGTTTCAAAGGGAAAGTGGTGAATTTGATCATCGATTTATAACCTAGTAGTCAGCCCTAGGGCTGGAGCTCTGGTGCCACAGTGCCTAAGGCATTTGATGACTGCCAACTAGAAGGTTGGCAGTTCAAACCCACCAGCTGCTCCATGGAAGGAAGATGAGGTAATCTACTTCCATAAAGATTTACCACCTTGGAAACCCACTGGGGATCTCTATGAGATCAACTCAATGGCAGTGGGTTTGTTTTGTTTTGTTTTGTTTTGTCAGCCCTGGTGGTGTAACCGTTAAGTGCTTAGCTGCTAATAGAAAGGCTGGCAGTTCAAACCCACACAAAGGCCCTGCAGGAGAAAGATCTGGTGATCTGCTTCCATATTACAGCCAAGAAGACTTTCTGGAACAGTTCTACTCTGCCAAATGGGCACATCGTGAATCAGAATCAACTCCACAGCACCCGACAACAACAGTCAGCCAAGAGACTTAGCCAAAATCAAAAATCAAAGCTAAACCCATTGCTATCAAGTCGATTCCGACTCATAGCAACCCATAGGAAAGCCCCATAGGGTTTCCAAGGCTACAAATCTTTATGGAAGCAGATTGTCACATCTTTCTCCTGCAAAATGCCTGAACCACAGACCCTTATGGTTACCAGCTGAGTGCTTTAACCACTGTACCACCAGGGCTTCTTGGATCTATTCAACAAGCAGTAATTCAGGATTGGCAAGAGATCTGGGTTGCAGACAGATTTACAAGTTATGACTGCAAATTAGTAATTAAATCAATAAGATTAGAACTCATCAGAGAGCAAGAGAGAACGAGGGGGAAAGTTTGAGGAAGGAGGAGAAAGAAGAGACAGAAGAAAAGGAGCAGGCAAAGAGGAGACAGCATGCCAGGACTACTCCATGGAGACACCAACATGGACAGATGATCTGAGAGATGGGAGTAAAAGGCAGATGCACCAAACACCTTGAAGCTAAGGATGGAGCCCTGAGGCTCTGCACACACTCATATGAGCAATCCTGCACTTCTCAGGCAGCACCAACCTGGGCTTCGGGAAGGAGGTTACCAGTAGACAACAAGACTGCAAAAGTCCTAAAAATTCCCTCCACTTGATGCTCCACCTCCCATACACACCTACTTTCAAACAAACAAACAAAACACCTCTCCATCACTGGCCTGGAAACAATACCACCACAACCATCATGGAGGAAGGCACCCCACACTCCAGGAAGCCTCTATTAATGTACCCCAAACCTAAGAGTGTTCAGGGATGGATGGACACTTGAAGGCCTCTCTCTTGGCTCGCTCCCTCTTTAACACCTCCAGAAGATGTGAGTCATTGCCAACTCACCATTTCCAAGTATTAGACAAGTGTCACTCGGAAATGGCATGGATATTGCCCTCATAAACATGCAGATGGGTAAGTCATCTGCATCCTCATCTACAAGGAGGATATCACCAGGCAGGACCTCATGCCAGAAGGGAGCTTGTAGTATCACAGGGATAGGAGGATGTCCTTCTTGAACAGGTAGTAGGGAGGTCACAAGAATTTGAGTGGGACATGGACGTCTTGGTAACATTTAGAACTAATGCATTGACTCATAAACCGTATGCCTGCCTGGGAGGCCACTGCACACCAACTTGGTGAACTAAATGAGCACTGGTCTGAGGGCACTGGTCATTATGACCCAGATCCTCCGCATGCCCAACTTCCCACCACACCAATCAATTGGAGTCTGCAAAAGCCTCATTAAATCACCACGAGGCCATGCACTGCTTCCTGACAAATGTGAGTTATGGTTTTCCCAGAAGCATTATTGCTTTAAGCCAAAACCAAACACCGCTGTGGTCAATTCTGACTCATAACAACCCTGAAGAACAGAACTGCCCCAAGGGTTCCCAAGGTTGTAAATCTACACAGAGGCAGATTGCCACATCTTTCTTCTGATTCGTGAGTTTGAACCCTACCACCACCATCTATCAGTTAGCAGCTGAATGCTTTAACCACATATTTTCCACATCAACGTGGACAGATTAACATTTTGATTTTTCAGAAAGAGTGGCCTCTTTGCCCCAAACCACAGGTCAGTTATGGGCCCAGGTAGAGCTGGGTGGTCAGGAAGGTGCCAGGCTTTCCAGGGGTGAAGTTCCAGCCCCTTGCAATTGGCAGGGCCAAGTGGGCCAACCACCTCCCTTGTGAGTGTCACAGGAATGTGATTGGGTACATGGCTGTGCCATTGACCTCTCAGTGATGCTACCTCACAGTCCCCAGACCACCATGTTCCACTCACAGAGGACCAGGATGACAATGACAAGGCTCAGCAGCAACAATTCCTCAGTCCAGCTCCAGGAAACCACCACCCCCTTTTTCTAAAAAAAAAAAAAAATTTAAGAGCTTGTTCTACATTCAACATAACATGTACATTTAGTTTCATTCCCCATTCGCCATGTCCAATCCTAACCCAGTCTCCTCCCCTCCCTACTCTGTAACCCTCCCCCTATGTTCCTCATATTTATGCACTCTTATATGTCTTACATTTCCTCAGTTTGAATGTTGAGTATGTGGGTGCGGCATCCTGGGTTGAGCGGTCTGCGTGTACATCTTGTTAACTATTGGCCTGAGAGCTTGCCCCTGGGGGTGAGTTTTATTCCAAGTGCAAAATGTATTCCAGGGCCATAGTATTGGGAGTCTCACCAGAATTCATCTGACCAGTAATTATGGTCATTTTTGAGTTTTTGGATTTTGTTCCATGTTTTCCCTCCCACTCCATCCAGGATCTCCAGATTTGATCCTTTCCTGAGTGGTTGGCATTGGTAGCTGGGCACCATCTAGTTCTTCTGGTCTCGAGGGCCATCGTGTCCTAGGGCTGATTGCTTCTAAATGACCATTTTTATTTTTATTTTTTTGTTCTTATTCACTTCTGATGCTAGGAGACCATTAGCTGCATCTTAGATGGCTGCTTGAAAGCTTTTAAGACCCTAGTCACTACTCACCAATGTAGGATGTGGAGCAATGCTTTTATGTATTTTGTTGTGCCAATTGAGTCTGGTATCCCCCAGTACTATGGTCCTGAGGCAGTAGATCTGTTGGATCTCTCTCCTATAGTATCTGGTTGTCTGTGAGGGATTACTTTGCGTCTGTCTTCTATTGTTTCTGTAAGGATTGCAGGTATTTTTTATCACTGGTGTCTGTGCAAGATTAGCCTCAGTTGAATCTATCCTTGGTCTAGAGTGTACTTCAGTGAACAGAAGGATCTCAGGTGTTTATGTGTTTATCTGTACAGCCTAGTGTTTGGTGTTAATGGCTATGCAGTATTGTGAACAGATTGGTTTGTATTAGCATCTGTCATCTATCTCTTATGCGTACAATTTGTTGTTGTTGTTGTTGTTAAGTGCCGTCGAGTCGTTTCCAACTCATAGCGACCCCATGCACAGCAAAACGAAACACTGCCTGATCCCGCGCCAGCCCCACAATCCCTGCTATACTTGAGCTCATCATTGCAGCCATCATATCAATCCATCTCATTGAAGGCCTCCCCCTCTTTCGTCGACCCTCCACCCTACCAAGCATGACAGCCTTCTCCAGGGAAGGGTCCCTTCTGACAACATGACCAAAATAGGTGAGACGAAGTCTGGCCATTCTTGCCTCCAAGGAGCATTCTTGCTGCACTTCCTCCAGGACAGATCTGTTAGTTCTTTTAGCAGTCCATGGTACTTTCAGCATTCTTCGCCAGCACCACAACTCAAAA